TCTGACTTAAATATATGTAAAAAAATTATTTTGGCTTGCTTGAAAATTATTAATTGAGTCAAAATTTATATTAGTTTTTATAAATAATAAAATAAATAAAGTACTTGGCGATTGAACCATATTTTTAGACCTTACCACGTATGTATGCGAATATGTATATATATACATATAAATATACAGGTGGTTGCTACAACGGTATGAACTATTTAAGGAGATTTATGGAGGCAAAGGTGGACAATGACTCAAGCAAGGTGGACTCTGCAACTCACAATGTGAAAGCTTCATTGAATCGGGGCGACCATGTGTTGTTCTTTGACTTGGTTGCGAAGCGACGCTTCTTATCGGCTAACAATGGCCCGACCATGACAATCTCGACGAAGGGACGGAAGGTGCCTGTGGTGGCCCATTTTAAGTCATTAGCTGATATCACTACAATCAGAAAAAGCAGATAAAGAGAAGATAAAATTTTGTCTTCAGTTAATAAGATATTTACATTTTTCGGCAAATCTTCTGCCTAAAACTTGGTAAACCTGAGGCAATCGACCGTTTGGAAGAGTAAGAGCACCACAACCCTGCCATGGTAATCTTCCCTCAGGTCAACAAGACACAATTTAGGACCGAAACAAACAGTTATTTCCTCTGATATTATGTAAAACATCAACTTTATTAAAAATTAAAAAATTTCACACTAGGCTAGTCTAAAATAAATATTCATTATGAAAAGGTTTCAAAACAATCGGCAACTTTTAAATGAAAATGTGGTTCCTCCATGTGCTAGGGCTGAAGATTGAGTTTTTCCACAAATATGTAGAATTCCCCTTAGCTGTGTCTCCCAAATAATATTCACACCTGCACTTTCGGCCAACTCCTCTAACGGGATTCGAGGCCAGGTCCTTGGCATTGTGGCGATAGGCTAGCCCTCGGTCAGACATCCACGACTGCCGGCGGCAGATGCGACTTTCAAGGCGGGTGACGACAGTGCTTATTATTCAATGAAAGTTACAAAAATATCGTATTCCCTAAAAGTCGGAGATACTCGACGTGGCTGAGACAATACAGCAAGCGGAAGATTCGAAGAGATCTACGATGCCAAATTTCGCACGGAGAGTCCCAGCCTCTCTGTTGCTTGGCGTCGCGATGGGCAGGAGCCGGACAAGAAATGGCCTTTAAAAAGATGGGCGAGCGAGTGATGAGTTGCCCGTACAGCCAATGATTCAGGTAAACCGCCGAAATCAAGTACTTCTCTTCCAAACCAGACGTCGGTTGCTGCGTCCGCTTCAGGTCACTTTGTAACCAAGCCAGATCACCATAGCCGGCCAGATATTGCAACAGCTTGGAATGCATAAAGCAAATCTTAGACAAAAACAGCATACCAGTTGTTTAGCCCCAAACCAATGCTGAATTAGTGTTAATTCTAAAACATCGAAACTTAAAGGAAATCCAAATATCCCATTTTTTGCTCGTCTATCAATTTAACAAGATGGTAAGAATTTCTTATTGCACAAGTCCTATTTTCTGAAATTCGTTCTAGTTGAGTCAAATAAATCATAGCGTTATGTGCATTAGGCAACCTTTATTATTTACAAAAATCAAGGGCAGACTACGCGCGTTTTGAAGAGGTATTCATTATTGTCCTCTTAAGTCCTCCAGTATTTAAACATTATTACAAGCAGCCACCAAACCTCCTTGGCCTCTGCTGGATTCTAACCTATAAACGTAAATATTCCCTTTGCCTGTCCTCAACAATAGTCGTCCATTTTTTTGTTTAGAATTAGGGATTCAGTTATATGAGATGTATTAACCACATTTCGTGATATGGGAAAATGCCTGGCCATCCTTGAAATTCACATATGCCCTATGATCCAAGGGCACTTGTGGCAATGTGGCATAGTGGGCAAAGTGTCGAGATTATACACTGAACTTTCGTGGTTGGAGTCCCGCTAGGGGTGCTGATGAGTCCTGAGCGAGATCGGAACTCCCATCCACCCTAGATAAGAAAACCTTTTAGGAAAGCAAGGTTATGTGAAATGCGATGGAAACGTCAGCTCTACTCATATGATTGTGGGAAAATTCAACTACCATTCCTTCATCACCTTAAACAAAACAGGGTGAATAGATCGCATACTAGTTGCTCATTTTGTTTGTGTATCCTTGTGATGGTATTAACTTTCTTATTTTTATTTAGCTCTCTGCATGCTAATCTACCAAATGAACGACCTATACCTCAATATCATTATTAATCATCATTGGAAAACTGATTGTTAAATGTATAAGTTTTCCACATGCTTTTACTATATAAGTTCAAGTAAAACTCTAAAAAAGAGTGGCCTGGTAGCTTCGATATTACCCTTAGGACCTAAAGTCTTGTGGGTATACGAGTTTGTGTGGATACATATGTATATATTTGATAGCTTTTTCCTGCATACATTGAAGTATATGCACAGATGAATCAGAGGCAAACGAACGCATGATATGGCCAGTTGCACAGTGCCCGAGTTAACGATGGTCTTGGCTCACTGTTTGCAATCGCATCATGTCATCGTCACGAAGTGCTTACCTGTTACTGTAACTTTATGTTCTCCATGAGCAGGATGTCGGAACAAATCCGCCTGAATGGCGATCTCACCCACACTGTCCTCGATGGCGGGTTTATCTGAGAAAGAGAGAAAATAATTTAAACAGAAATTATTTCAAATACAACATATTGTTTAGTGCAAGCTATTATACACTGTGAACCTTCGCAGTTGCTCATGCGTGCTTAGTGTGATTAGAGTACGTACTCGAGGGCACATCACGACCATATACGAATATGATGACAGGATGCTTAAGCATCGAGGTAGAGTGAAAGTCATTGGAGTACAAAGCCTCCGTTTAAATTCATTGTAATAATTCAGGTTCCCAGGTTCATTCTTGTCAGAAGAGAAGTTTCACTAAAAGTTTCAATAGTTCTTTAATCAATACTTACTGATGCTAATATAATCACTGATATACTAATATATCTATATTGCTGAGGGGGACTTTCATTTCGTATGAGACTATGAAGAAGAGATTCGAAGGTCGATCCCACCAGAAGAGGACGGATGAATCCGGTTGTACTGCCGCCGTTGGGCTTTTATACGACGTTCAGGTTAACACATCCACCTACAAAGTTCTTCTTCATGCACTTCCATACGAAATGAAAGTCCTACCAACAAAGTTATCCCAGAAGATTAATCGAAACCCAGTTACTCTTCATATCTATAATAGATCTATTTTGTGCATGTGTGTGAGTATAGTATATGCATATATTTATTCTATGCATATATATATATATATATATATATTTAGGATGATGCAGATCAGGTTTTGAGGAAAGCCGAAATGAAGCCTTTAAAGCAACAGTTTCTTACAAAAGAGTGGATCTGTATTGGATATTTTACTCAGATATGATATATGTTCAGGCTGCCCGAGGGTGTTTTATACAGATGGGATGAGGCAAATAAGCTGCCTTGGCAATTCGAAGTGTGGAGATGAAGTGAATGCCTACAGCTAATCCGACACCATTCGTTTCAGCGATTATCGCAAGACTGTCTCAGCTCATACAAATCTAATCTTTCAAAAGGCTCCCATAGTGCGCATTCCACTGGGAATGGTCTCGAAAAAGACTGTGGCAAAGTTAAGCAACCCCAAAAGCTGCTCTTTGTAAAGGCCATTTACTAATAGGCCGAGGTAAGGAAGAAAAAAGGTTCCCTTGTCTCCAAAAATTGCCAGACCTGGGTGAAAGCAAAAGAAGAAGAGGGTTCAACTTCGAGGTCCCTGATGGAAAAAAGGTACTTCACACTCGTTAAAGCAATTCCCCACCTCCTATCTGGTATCCTCGCATAACCCATTGAAAACAAGTTCGCTGTAGACAAAGGAATAGCTCTGGGACAAAAAACCTCAAATTGCAAAAAATGAGATGATCCACAAGCCAGGAAAGATGTAAAGATGTCAGATGAAAGTGATGATGCAGTCCGGATAAGACTCACCCTGCGAGGTTTGTGTAGCAACAAAGTTTTTGATAAGCGCATCTGTCGTTTGTGTGTACAAGCTGAGTGCGTAGCGTAGCGACTGTAGCTCTGGCGACTTGTCCAGATATGTCTTCTTTAGCCCACTTCCGCCAGCGTGAAAATATGCCTTGATTGCATCCAAAGCGATGTCTAGAATCTGGCAGTGACGAGGTGTCAGGTTACGTTCAGCCGGACCACTGTCTTTTGATATATCCTTCAGATATACAAGTAGAAGATTGGGAAATAGGAAAAGTAGAAGAGGAAGACGAGAGCAATGGGGCATCAGTTGAGCAGGAATATTCTAAGGCTGGTTTTTCCAGCTCTAGTTGACAAATATTCCAAAGAAGTGGTGAAATATTCATGTATACAAAACAATAAACGACTATTTGAGCGGCTGGTTTTCATAATAAGTAATATCACAAAGAAAATTAGTGTAAAAAAGAGGGAAATAGACCAAACTTAGCACTCTGAAAATGTTAATTGATCAGTTTTAAATAAGACTACACTCAAACATTAATTGAAAAAATTTACCTAATAATTTAATAAATATTTATAATATTAAGGAAAATAAAAGGAAGATGATTTAAAATATGTCAAAATTATACCTGCAATAATTTACTGGCCGGAAGTTGGTT